GATCAATCGATCGCTTCGCCGGCCCCGCCTCTCCCTCCCTCCCCCCCCACCCCACACACTTGGGAGGCAAGGACGGGACAGGACAATAACTCGCCCCCCCTCTCTCGTGTGAGGAGAATCCGCTGGCTGGGGCTGGGCTTCCTTCCCCTCAGCACGGGGGGGTTTAGCGTCCCTCCGAGAGAGGCAGAGGAGGGGGGGGAAGGAGGAAACGTCCCCCATCACCACGTTTTCCCTCCTGCCTCCTCCCGTTTCCTATCTTCCTTTAGAGAGGAAGATTTATTCTCTGGGTCCAGGATCCTTCCAGGAAGCTCGCCGCCTGAATATTTCTGTCCTCGATGGCCAAGGCGCTTTAAAAAGTGCCCACGATTCGCAGAGAGTCGCCATGGAGTTGGGGTGGCCCTCCTGGATACGCTTCCCTGGCAGCAGGAGGTCCCTTGAATCTTCTTTACTTCCGAGTAAACGGGCATGAGACCCTATTGCTGAAGAAAGACTGGGTCGCCCGAGTGATTTTAACGACTGGGGTGGATCGAGGGATCCGGGAATCGTTGTCTCCCTTATGTCCAAAATACAGAATAGTGGCAAACACAGTTGTTTTGAGCTGTTGAACTTTGGGTTTTAAGACACTTGTGCCTCAAAAGTGTGTGGGTGGGAAGCGGGGGAGCTCTTACCCTCATCGTGGCGGTGGTGGGAAGGAAGGTCTATTCTTTACAATCCCAAGGAGTTACTGCTGGACCCGAGGTGTGTGGTGAGACAGTGACACGATGGTCTGTGTAAATTGCCACAGAATTCTTCTGAAGCCGAAATGACCCGCCTGTGTTTCCAGAGCTTGTACTGGTCAACAAACTGGGGAGGTAGCGGTGTGTGTGTGTGTGTGATGGTCAAGCCCTCAGTTTTGCTGTCCTCCCCTATCTTTTAAAAGCTCCAATATTACGCAAGGAGAAAGGACTTGATCCCTCTTCCTAGGTAGGAATGGACATCTCTAGTCTCTGACCTCCCTTGCTCATCTTTAGTGACTTGGGCTAAGGCCCCATGGCTTGGAAGAGTGTGTTGTTTGCTACTCATGTCCTTGTCCAGATAATTTTGCTTTTCCCTGCTGGCCAGAGGTAGCACATGCTGCTCCAAGGCTTTGTGACATTCAGACACGAAGCTTTCTGACAATTCATCTGGGTGTATTCTGTATGTATATTTCCACCTCCCCTTTATTCTATCAAGCTTCTCTTTAGAGTTTGGACTTTCGCAGGATGGCATCAGATTTATATTATTCTGTATGAAGCTGGAATTATGCTCACTTCCTAGTGCTAGGGTTCAGTAAGATTCATGACCAATCAGTTTGTATATAGGAATTTTCTTGGAAAGATTGCTCAAGGGCTCTCAAAATGTAGCGCTGTAATTTCGCTAATGTTGTACAGGGTAGGTAAAAGTGTGAATATGAGGCAATGACCTTACTCCTTCATATGGTTTATCATAGAATTTCAGAATTTGAGATCGGATGCAACAGCTCGGAACTGTGTATGTGTACGATACAGTACTGTACCCAAAACAGATAAATCTCCCAGAGGATCTGGCTCATACTCCAAGATTCTAAGCAGCTTAAGCCAATGTGATTAAACCCATGGTTTACCATCTGTTTATAGCAGATGTAACAACTTTGATGCCTCTGATACTCTTTCAAACTTTAAAGTGTACATGAAAAGCATACATTTTTTTCCAACTACTGTACTGAGTATTTGAGAGAAGCTCTATAAGTGAGATATTAATTGGTCTGGATGTTGTGCATAATATAATGATTGGGATTGGCATTCAGGTACTACTGAGACAAAGAATTTAAAGGTCAAGTGAAAATGCAAGTATTCACGTGTAAAGAGGCTTGAAACCCCACAAGAAATTAGGATCTTTATGATAATTTCCTCTTCAGTATTGTGAGTTGTCATATCAGTTGAAGTGATTACTGTCCAACTTAATGTTACAAAACATGTAAGTTACAGAGAGCACTTTGGAATGTAGAGAATGTGTTCCCTTCCTCAAAGGTTACTCAAAATGGTGGCAATGCTAGGAGAAGTTTGGCCTTCTCTGAACAATACAGGGATAATTCTTGACTGAAGTCATGAGAAAAGCAGTGTAAAGGCTAGCTGGACAAATCTGAGTATGGCTTATATTGCTCCCCAAAGGAAATATGCACAATCTGTTCAGCTTTTTCCTTTTAAAATCTGACTTTGCTTCAGGTTGTGAATTTCTGTCTTAATGGGCACTGGCCATTTATAAATTGTAGAGGATGTATTTCTATAACTTAATGTTGAAAACATAATGTCCCTCTGACTTCCTACTGAAACATTAAGATATTTGTTGGATTTGATCAGTTGAGTAAGTGATATTGCAAATATTTTGTAGGAAGTAAAATAAAACATCTATATTGCTACAATATGCATTGCTACAAACTCCTCCTTCATATACATGTCTGTTCATTTTCTGATCCAATAGTTTTTCTAGTGTTTTTTGTAAACAGTCAACCAAAATCCAACCATCAGCCATGCTTTAATTTTTTTTATATGAATGTGTTTAATATGCCGTCCATTGTTTTGGATTGTACATATAGTGTCTTGGATGTGAATACTGTACTGCAGACTGAAGAAGCACTTCAGGATTCTGTTTTTCTATTTTTAATATGTTGGCAGATTCATTCTAGGAGGATTAAAAATAATAGTGAGAAGCCTGTGATTTTATGAGATGGCAAGTACTCCATTCCTAGGATATTTGTGTTCAACAGGATGTGAGAATCCTTAAAACCCCTAGAACAGGATGTGAATTTAGGTAGGTAGGGATCCCTTATGCAGTGCTAAGTTTTTGAAAGAGACAAGATCTCCCAGTGTTTGTGTTCTTTAGCAAAGAAAGACTCTCCCCAACTATTGATGCATAGATTCTTAAAAGGAGTTTGCTGTTCAGCTATGTGAAACACAGTAAAAAATCTTGAATTTACAGTGATAAAGGGCAATTGCACTAGCCTTTCACCTTTGGAAGTCAGAGTTACCATCTGGTTTGTTTCACTACTGTGTCAGTTTGGACTTCAGTTCCTTGAATGAGTTTGCCAAACAGGAACATTTAATATAGTCTGAAGCAGTTGTCTCTTCTGGATTGTGGAGAAGGACAGCTTGTGATTATGTTTATTTCAGCATGATTATTTAGAGTAGACTGAAATGTGGCTGGAAATATATGGAGATCAGATAGAGGTTTTTAATTCGTTTTGTTTGCTTTTTGCAGGGATAGCATATGTATTCAAAGTTTATCAGTAAAAATAAATTGAGAGAGCAGCAAAATCATAGAAACGTGGATTTTCAAATGGCAGCATAGAGGGGGGAAATATGAGTGGCTTAGAAATTACCATAATGCCCCAGCTCTTGGAAAATATATGGAGGGGTGAGGAAGTGGACTTGTCTACAAAAGCTCACATTACAATATAGCAGTTAGTCTTTGTGCAAAATGTTTTTGTCATCTTTATTTTGTATTTTTCTCTTGCTTTGGCTTGATGTGCTACCACAGACTAACTTATCTTCTAAAACTATATGGGTGGGAAATTAGTAAAAATACTTAGATACAGATGTCAGAAGATCCTCGTGGTTGAGAGAGCTTCCATTTCTATGGCAAATACGGAGAACCATGGGTAGTGAATTTTTATTAGAAGCTGGCCATTTTCAGAAGTTCTGCTTTACACCATTGTGCTCGCCTACCAAACATCTTGTGTCCTCTAGCTTTCTACTGTATGTATTTTCAGAGGTCCTACAACCGATATGCCTATGCTGGAGCAGGAACAAAGGGCCAGTAAAGTGATAAAAATCTTGAATTTCCTTTTCAAATGTTTTTCTCATCTAGCACAAGGAATACAATTGTGGATAACACTTCATTTTTTTACAGCCTTTCTAGTCTAATCTAACATTTACAGATGACAGAAGAGAAACATTTGCACGGAACAGTTTATATGGCTAACTCCTTTTGAAAAGAATCACAACCAAAACAGTTATTAAGTAGCTTTTATATGGAATAGCTTTAAATATTGTGATGCATAGTGTTATTTGTTGTTGTTTAGTTGTGTCCGACTCTTCATGACCCCATGGACCACAGCACGTCAGGCCCTCCTGTCTTCCACTGCCTCCCGGAGTTGGATTAAATTCATGTTGGTTGCTTTGATGACACTGTCCAACCATCTCATCCTCTGTTGTCCCCTTCCCCTCCTGCCTTCACACTTTCCCAACATCAGTGTCTTTTCCAGGGAGTCTTCTCTTCTCATGAGATGGCCACAGTTTTGGAGCCTCAGCTTCAGGATCTGTCCTTCCAGTGAGCACTCTGGGTTGATTTCCTTTAGAATGGACAGGTTTGTTCTCCTTGCAGTTCAGGGGACTCTCAAGAGCCTCCTCCAAAACCACAATTCAAAAGCATCAATTCTTCGGCGATCAGCTTTCTTTATGGTCCAGCTCTTACTTTCGTACATCACTACAGGGAAAACCATAGCTTTGACTATTCAGACTTTTGTTGGCAAGGTGATGTCTCTGCTTTTTAAGATGCTATTGAGGTTTGTCATCGTTTTCCCCCCAAGAAGCAGGTGTCTTTTAATTTCGGGGCTGCTGTCACCGTCGGCAGTGATCATGGAGCCCAAGAAAGTAAAATCTGTCACCGCCTCCATATCTTCCCCTTCTATTTGCCAGGAGGTGATGGGACCAGTGGCCATGATCT